AGAAAGAGTCGAACAGATTCAGATAAAGGGCAGAAGGAAAACATACTTTTGAAAACATGCACATAATGATAATGTGTGGCTTGGGGGCAACATCAGAGCCCATTTGTGGGTACATAGGACTGTGATGTGATAAATATATTATATTAATGAAATATTGTTGTGCAGTCCGATGAAACTGTTGGATGAACCAGGAAGGCCCCCAATACTGTTGGATGAGGGGTGGGCCCAAGGGGTCCTCCCCCATCCAACCATCCTGTTTGGCAGTCTGGACTGCAAAACAGGGGACTTTTATATTAAAACTCTAAAAAGAAAAGGTGCATGGTAGGAACTTGGAAGGAAGTAAGGCACAGATAATAGCACCATCAAAACTTTTTCAAGCTGATTTAATGCTTCCTTGAACTCTTGTTTTCTTTGCTTGAAGGCTTTGAACTTGACAGCAATTTCAGGGTCCTTACAAAACTCCTCGTATTCCTTAAGCTGAGACTGCATATACAGTTACAACAGAGTAGATGAGGATTTTTTAAGAATATAATTCAAGTAAACATCAATAATTCAGAACAATATAGATTATATCATTAATATTAAATCATTTTTTTCCTGCATATAAACTATTATACAATAGATAAATAAACCTATCCATTATTACAACACAAATAAACAGATACTAAACAGTAAAACCTATAGAAAATCTCAAACTAACATAAAGAATACTGCACCCATAACAAAACATAGAGCAGTTCCTGGAGAAAAGGTTTGCTGCAGCCCCAGATATGGAGAGTAAGAGGGACAGTGGAAACTCAGCTGTAAGCTCAAGGGTTCATCATCTAGTCTTGGGAACTTCCTTTAAGCCAAACACCAACCACATATTCTCTATATACATACTCAGATCATATGCTAACAAGATAGAAAAGCCATACTGCCATCCTTAAAGTAGCTCCCACACCTCTTCTTTTATAGTCATCAGCCAAAGACTAACTTATAAGAGAAATTGAACGTAAGTTGAATGACATGGATGTATATTTATGATGATTCATGTTATAAACAGATTGTGTTATGCATAATCTTGTATATATACGAAGGAAAGTGTTATGATCTTGTATATTTAATTCTCTATGCTTATGCTAATTAATTTGTTTACCGTCTTTTCGGCCCGATATAGCCTATCCCTTATAATTTTCTCCTCCCTCCTTCTCTTCTCTTCTTCCTCAGACAGTGACGGCCCTGGCGGACGCCCTGGTCTTCGCCTGTTTCCTGCTTCATCGACTCCAGTCCTTTTCTCCTCTCCAACATATGCCATGAATTCTTCCTGTGATCGAGACGATATAAGGAAATTACTAATTAGGGTTACCTGATTTCGTTTCCAATAATAAAAATTCAATACAAAACAAAACAGTAGAATAATAGAAGAAATTACACCTCAGATACCTGAATCTTCATTAAGATAGATATGAAAAGATGGACAAATGAAAAGGCTTCGACTCAACCTGAACAATTTTATCTGAAAGAAAAAATTTCCATGTAACTGCTTGATGAAATTTATAGCACTCGTAGAAGTAATTCTTAGATCGCGAGACATCTCGAGCTCGATCGCGACCTAAATAACACTCGCGCGACGCACTCCCATTCCACCCCCCTCCCGTCTCGCGAGCTTGCGAGATAAGTAACACTCGCACTCCCACTCCCACTGAAGCAGTCTTGATAGTCAAAGCGAAGCCAGAGTATTTTCCTTCTCATATATATTTAATTTAATTAATTAATGGTGCCAGTTTGTAATATTTGTAATAAACCTTAACCTATTTACCTTCTGCTTCTGTCCTTGCATGGACCGGCCCATGTGAATTAGTAGGATTCTTTTCCGCTTCACAAGGGCCAGCCCATGTAACCTTTTCTACCCACTTAAATAAATAATTTTTGTTCATATTTTTTTTTTTTAAAAAAGGTAAATAATGATATTATCTTTATTTTTTTATTTAAAAATGTTAAATTTATTAATTTTTTAAAAAAATATTAATTTTTTACTTTTTTATTTAAAGATATTAGTTTTTAATTTTTTTATTTAAAAATTAATTTAATGATAATATTAATGTAACAACAAATGAGTTTTTTTAATCAAAATATTCAAATTAACCTTCATAAATAAAAAAAATTAAATATTCATATTTTTTTAAATAAAAAATATTAAAAATTAATATTTTTAAATAAAAAATAAAAAATTAAGTTTTTTTTTACAGTAAAAATTAATTAGGAATAGTGTTAGTATTTAATGGATAGGCTCAAAACTCTGAAGGGATGCAGACCACCTGCTGCCCAAGCGCAACGAGGTCACTTTGGCCACATGGGGTTTGGATATAAAATTAAGTATTTTTTTTTAACAATTTGTAATTATTTATAAGGTTAATTGGGAGAGAAGAGAAACGGATTCCATAAGATAGAACATGCAACCCACCAGAAGTGAACAGTATTGACCCAAGTTCAATGTCAATTGACCAAAACGGACCGTTCATAAAATTAAGTATTTATTTACACATTTTCTCTTAGAAAGATATTAAGCAATTGGAATTGTATTGAACTGCAGATCCTAATATCAGAGCCCACCTCCATTGTCTTGCGGTCCGATTCAATTCACACA